TTTTAATGTCATCCAGAGGCAAAATCCAAGTACTTACTTCACTCTGTATCTTGTAAGCCTGATTTGCCCGCTCCAGATCCACTGTCTTATCTGTTGGCGTATATTTCCCTTTGATATGATGCACATAGTTATGGCGGTAAACAGCCTGAGTATTGACAAAACAAAATAAGCTATGTTGAATATTAGCAAAAGGTTTCTCGTTGTTTTAGTTTTTAAATACTGGTTAGATATTAATCAGATCTAGAGACAGAAAAAGTAGAATTTCAAAGGAAAATCCTAATGCTGGAGAGGTGATCTGAAAAAAGAATTCTTTTCCTTCCTTCCTTCCTTCCTTCCTTCCTTCCTTCCTTCCTTCCTTCCTTCCTTCCTTCCTTCCTTCCTTCCTTTCCTTCTTTCCTTCCCTCCCTCCTGCACCTGATCTACAGTTCTACATGGTGCAGAAATATAGTGAATTACAAAGTAGTGTGACAAAAAGCTTTGCTATAGTTTTGTTAAAAATTGTAACTAGAACTGCTACATGCAGTTATGGTGATTGCATAAGCATTGATCACAAAATCTTGCTTTGACTGGAAAGTTAACAGGTATGGACTTTTCAAGCACTTGCTGAAAAATAAAGAAAATAAATCACTCTTATTGATTTATTTATTTATAAAATTTCTACCCAATCTAAAAGGCCTTTGATGGCTTACATAGAACATAGCAGAACAAATTAAAACACCCCTGGTAACAAGTAAAAGCACACCAGAGCTTCATAAGTAACAGCAATAAACGTAGTAAGCAACCTAAAACACAGAATAAAAACAAGGACCCTTTTATCTTATGATATAGATAGCTGTTCAATCAGGGCCAAATGAGCTGAAAATAAGTATACTTGTGCCTTTTTTCCTCCTGAAGCTATACAATGACTTGCATTGGAGGAAAATCAATCCCCGTTCAATTTCTGCACTATTTGTGAACATGCTCTCTAGTCTATTTGGTTGATACAACTGCAAAGAAATGAAAGCAGTTTCTGTTTTTTGAGACTGAAATGGGAAGATGATCCATTCCTCAACTATTTCCAGCTGCAGGTTTGAACTGTTTTTTAAAGAATTGCTGCTGATTGGCTAGTAGAAGTAGGACTAGTAAGCCATGCTAAGCCATGATCATTAAAGAAAAGGGGAAGAGGTTGATGGGAACAGAAATGCAAATACTCACTTCACTCAGATTCTTGCCACTGAGCACATTTTGAACGTAGAGAGGTGTGTGTGTGACTACAGAATATTTGCTCTTCATTTTCTCTGCCTCTGCCTTGTATTTGAGCTGTGAGAGGGAAAGAATATGTACAATAGATAACATCTTCCTTGTCACTCTACTTTTCAAAAATAATTCAACAGTTTTTGTGAAAGTAGCACTCTTAAAGCATGTCGAGTTTTATTGGTTTGGAGCCAATTTGCCTTGAAGAAAGGATGAAGTGGAAAATTGCAAGCAGCAATAGTTTTGGCAAGACTAAAACCATCTTGGATAAGAAGATGTTTGGTGCCTCATGTGCTGGCCTCTTTCCGGTTAGTTAGAAAGATATTTTTTTTTTTGCATTTGAAAATATTTGGGTTGGTGGAAGTTTGAAGCTATCAGAAATTGCCAACCATACTTACGAGATTGCGAAGATCATAGGCATGTTTAGCATGGAGAATTTCAGGAGTGTCCCAAACAAAACAGCCAATTCCTTTGAGCCAGTTGAGATCATCTTTGTATACAAACTGAGGTATTAAAATTAAAAGAAA